TACTTTAAAGCACACTTTAGCTATTTATGTATGTACTTATGTTTTGTGTAAATATGTATTTAAGTATTTCGATATTTCGATATTTCACTCCTCTCGAATGCACAACCGTCAACGTCCGCTGTCAGTTCACATGTGAATTGGCAGGCGGTGAAATCATAACATTTCACTGCCAAACCAGAGACTGGCTGACTCTCTTTCGCCACCCGTTGGCGTGTTGTCAGCACTGAGTATTCCGCACAATGCAGCATGCGAAAAATGATAGTGGAGCAACCCTTCGAATGCGCTTCAAAAATGTTTACAAAGCAATGGCCCGTACTCGTTCGTTCAACAACAATATTCCCACCACAACAATAACACGTGAACAGTGATAAAACACTGCTGGAGCAACCACCATTGACCCGAACAGGGCTGCCGCACGTTTTCCAGATTACTGGTTGTTGCCCTTATAAAGGGTTGGCAGCAACTTCGATGCCAAATCATGAACCAAAAATACAAGATCACGTAAGAACGCGACGTTGTATTTGTAACTGGTTTTGAGAAAAAAGTTTGCGAAAGCGGGTTCGTCAGCTGGGCGTTTGTTTACATCACAAGCACCACTATTTTACACTTTTATTCAAGTAAAGAAGAGTTAATTCAACATGACAACACATTTTAAAGCATTTTGTTGCATCATTTTACCTAAATTGTGCGTTTAAAGTGGCTGACAATAATTTTGGGCAATTTTGGTTTTCGTTGTTTTCTTTGCTTTGTTTACTTTTCGCTCGTTTTCCAGTGAAACAAGATGGCGTAGAACCCGCTAAAAAAATCGACTTTTTTCACTCTCTTGTTCTTACGTGATCTTGTGTCTTTCGTTCATGGATGCCAAATGTGCAGAAATCAGTACATCAAAGCAAAATCGGCAATGACTTACTCGACATTACGAATATGTTAATTTAAATAAAACCTTTAATGGTTTAATTTAAGGCTCTTAAGAAAGATGCTCTGAGGCAATATTTCTCACTTAATGCCACTTGGTATTTGAATTTATTTGGTATTGAAAAAAAAAAACATATATGATGGCCTTTCACTCAATTTTGTTGGCGGTTTTGTAGGTAGAATTATGAAAAATTTTAATTTGTATTCTTTTAAAAGTTGCCGCAGTTTCCAGTCTTCCATTTATTCTTATAAATAGCACGAGATTTATCTTGGAATAAACTTTTCTTTTAAAGGCGTGACTAACCGAGAGTTTCAAGGTGTTAGAAAATGTTCAAAGTTTTATGTGTTAGACGCTATTTACACGATGAATTTTCACCCTGCGTTTTTTTGTCTTTCTCTTTGAAAAAGTCTTTTAAAATCTTCGTGCGTTTACACGATGAGTTTTTGTTTGCGGCGTTCCTTACGTGCTTTAGCGGTTAATTTCCTTTGATCAATTCTTCCGTACACATTTTTAAACGCTGACGCTGAAGTAGCTGCGGTTGTGGGTGTGCTGCTGTTGCTTCTATTAATTGGGGCGCATGCTGCATGCGTCGGAGAGGCAGTCAATTGTTTTTGTTGATGCTGTTGCTGTTGATGCTGTTGCTGTTGCTGTTGATGCTGATGTTGCTGTTGTCCGCAATTGCCACTATTTAATCCAGGTGCGTTAATTGCTGACCCGACCGAATTGGGGGCATTGTTAAAGGAACGCGTGCCGCCATGATTCTGATGGTGAGGATAAAAACCAGCGCCACGACATAAATTTGTGGGCATTGGATAGAATTCAAGCATTGTCTATCGAGAATGGCAACTGTTTCTGTTTTCGATTAAGACAACGCGGCTTGTCTTCTTCTTTGTTGCTGGTTGTTTTTTGGAATCACTTTGTTCGTTTTTTGTTTCTTTGTTAATTAAACACTGCTTGGGTGCGATTGTGTTGGGTGGACGAACACTCCCCAAATCGGATTCGCACACATTTTCCACCTTCACTTGGGACACTTTAAGAACTCTCGCGTCGACATGCACTCGAGCGACACTTGCTGTGTTTTATTTATTTATTTACTTATTTTTTTTTTTACTTTAAAGCACACTTTAGCTATTTATGTATGTACTTATGTTTTGTGTATGTATTTAAGTATTTCGATATTTCGATATTTCACTCCTCTCGAATGCACAACCGTCAACGTCCGGTGTCAGTTCACATGTGAATTGGCAGACGGTGAAATCATAACATTTCACTGCCAAACCAGAGACTGGCTGACTCTCTTTCGCCACCCGTTGGCGTGTTGTCAGCACTGAGTATTCCGCACAATGCAGCATGCGAAAAATGATAGTGGAGCAACCCTTCGAATGCGCTTCAAAAATGTTTACAAAGCAATGGCCCGTACTAGTTCGTTCAACAACAATATTCCCACCACAACAATAACACGTGAACAGTGATAAAACACTGCTGGAGCAACCACCATTGACCCGAACAGGGCTGCCGCACGTTTTCCAGATTACTGGTTGTTGCCCTTATAAAGGGTTGGCAGCAGCTTCGATGCCGAATGTGCAGAAATCAGTATATCAAAGCAAAATCGGCAATGACTTACTCCACATTTCGAATATGTTAATTTGAATAAAACCTTTAATGGTTTAATTAAAAGCTCTTAAGGAAGATGCTCGGAAGCAATATTTCTCACTTACTGGCCCTTGGTATTGAAATTTATTTGGTATTAAAAAAAAAAAAACATACATATATGATAGCCTTTCACTCAATTATGTTGGCTGTTTTGAAGGTAGCTAGAATTATGAAAAAATTGAATTTGCCTTCTTTTAAAAAATGCCGCAGTTTCCAGTCTTCCATTTATTCTAATAAATAGCGCGTGGTTTATCTTGGAATAAACTTTTCTTTTAAATGCGTGGCTAATTGGGAAACGATTTATTAGTAAATTTTCTACAAAATACAGTAGAAATGATCGCTTTCCGAAATAGCGCTGATTTTTCACTATGGTCAATATTTTTAAATTATATATTTTTTTCAGACAGTTTTATTTTTAAGTCCATATTTTAACTTCAATAGCTAAACAAGTATTCATGTGCTAATGTTTTTATGAGCAAACCGAGAGTTTCAAGGTGTTAGAAAATATTCAAAGTTTTATGTGTTAGACGCTATTTACACGATGAATTTTCACCCTGCGTTTTTTTGTCCTTCTCTTTGAAAAAGTCTTTTAAAATCTTCGTGCGTTTACACGATGAGTTTTAGCGGTCGATTTTCTTTGATCAATTCTTCCGTTCACATTTTTAAAGCGGAGCGAATCTCGAACACAAAGTAAAAACACGAAAATGTGAATTCGATAAAAGCGAAATGTCAAAAAAAACCGATTCTCTTCCTCGTATAAATGCCGTCCTACTCAAACAGGCCTACGACTTGTACATAACCCTGCCTAGAGTCGGATAATCCTTCAATCGTCGCCGTCAAGTTCAACTAACGGTAGGCCTTGGAAACATGCTGTCCCCACGGTGTCGGACCAGATCGAGAGGGGTGTCAGTTGAGTGGGGTTGATTAGCATGTGAGGAGGTGGTTGATATCATGTGGGGTAGCTTCACATGCCGGACTTGGATACATTAGTTACGTCGAGGTCTAGTCTGGGTAGGTAGGAGATTAATCTACCCCATTATCCAGACCGCTGGTCTCGCTCGCCGTTTGGCGCGATCTGTCATTAGCTTCGGAATCCCTTCGTCTGAAAATTCAGTGCACACTTTCTAAAATTTCATATAACACCAATCTATGTTTTAGATATCTAAGCGAGTAAATAAGAACTGCACACTCGGCAATACTGGTTAACCTATGTGATAACAACAACTTTATAGGGGTTGTGAAATTAATCCTCACATCGCGCATGTCCTACTGATTATTACTCAAACGCCGCGGCAAATGCCGTCAACCCTCATCTTCTGCTGAGTGCATGCAAAATATTCCCTCCGTTTGAGCGTGTGCATGTGTTTGTGTGGTTGTTGTGGCGCAGGAAATTACTCATGCACGGTTTAATTTGCCTTGTGTGTAAATGGAGAGGAGGTCACATCCCACATGGGCGCTGATTGGCTGAAGCTTCTCTATGTTGCGATACATTTCAACCATGGCATAGAGAGAGAGAGAGAGAGCAGAGAACCGACTTGTCGACACTGCGGGGAAATTTTGGGGCGCTTTTATAATCGCAACTTCCAAGAGGGGAACATTTCTGTAAAGTTGGCATAAATTCAAGCAAAGCCCGTTTTCAGTTTTTTTCTTCGCGCATTTTTTTCTCGCCGCTAAAAACCTCGTGGTACTTTTCTTTCTGTGCAGTGACTGCATTGGCGAGTGTTGAGAGGGACTGCTAGGGCTGTGCCAAAGGGAAAGGGTGGCAGGGGCGCCTCTGAGTCGTGGAGGGAAGGGCAAAGATGTAAAACGCAAACAAAAAAAAAAAAATTATGGAAAGAAGGCAGACTTTCTCGCTAACTTGGAAACAAAGTGGACGACACTTTCTTTAGAAAAGAAAAAATGGTGGCCTTGTTTTTGTTCTTTCTTGCCAGCGTTGTGTTGCTCTTGTTCAATTGTTATTCGTTTTTTTTTCCTGTGGTTGCAAAAGCAGAACATAAATAGCACAGAAATATGCTGTAGAGAGTGGTGGTCATACAGGGTATTGGGAAAATTTTACGACAGTCAAATTTTGGAAATTTTAAATCAGCAACTATCTTAGCAGAATGTTTGTAATTTATTGTACACATACATATGCAATTTCTGAAATCAATCCATAGAGAAAATTAAGAAAAAATATACGCTCTTAATGAAATGTTCCATTACAAAATATTATTCTGCGGAGCTAAGAGGATTTTTTTTTTGAACTTTTTTGCAAATATTTGTATACATATTTCCCTTATAGAAACAGGAAGCGGCAGACATATCATCCAATATTTTGTTTCCGTTCCAGGCAGCAGCACCCTTTTTTCGAGCTTTTCGCTTGAACGACTACAACCATAACAGCAACAACAACAACAACAACAAAAGCAACGAGTCTACTAAGAAGGCCAAACCAAATATGGCGTTACTACGGGTACGAAAGTTGGTTTCTTCCATGTCCCTTTGTTCCCATTTTGTTTGGCTTGGCTTTTGCCTTTATGAATGCTGGTACCATGTCTCCTTCACCGCTACTTCGCTGACTTTATTCTTTTATGGATCAGTTGATGCGTGGAAATATTTATTCTAGCCGTTTGCCTTTGTTTTTACTTTTGCTATTTTTAAGACGAACATTACATTTTGTCAGTGTGTGTGTGTGTGTGTGTATGAGTGTTTGTTTGTGCAATGCACATCTACATCTACGCGAATGAAAAAGAAAGGATATGCATCGTGGTGCTTTAGGGTTTTAAGAACATTGTCAGTGTTCCCATTGCAACCATTTCTAACCAGACAACCATTCATTTGAGAGCACGATTTCAATTGGTTTCTGAAGTGTTTACTGTGTTGTACTAAATGCGCTGAAGATGCGCTGCCGCCGGAGTGATATGCTGTTGCTTGGGGACGCAAGCAAAACATTACAGCAGCACCAAATTTTTTATAAGTATGAATGCACATACCCCAATACAACGAATATAGTTTACATTTAATAATAAATTTTTGCTTTAAGCTGCCTTTACACGGCTAGATTTTCTAGTCGATTTTTGTCGTTCATCCACAATCAACTAGTGTAAATGGTAATTCAACCGTAAAATGTACGGGTTTAGGCTGGTCGATTTCTCAATCGAATTTCCAGTCGACAGAAATCGACCCGTGTAAAGACAGCCTTAACCAGAGTAAACTTTTTTTTTACTTAAAAAAATATTTCAGACAGCAGTGTGTACGAGAATTTAAATATGAGAGTTGCTTCGATCGGACGGAATCGGTTTAAGGGTGTACTAAAGTCTACAGCGTCTGTTCACCATTAAAAAAAATCACAAAAAATAGCGTAAAGGCCGGTTCACATAGAACTTCTGCGTTGGCTTTGGCGTTGGCGTTGGTTTGACAGAAGGCACGTAAAAAGTATGCTTGCTACAATGAGCGCTTAGCAGCGCATACTTTGGCCACTAAATTGACATACTAACAACAGATAAATTAATATTTCATATCAATAGTTGTATGAAAAGCTATATTTATTTCCCCAATTTGATTAAAACGGAAAAATATTTCACATAATTTTATTTATTTGTAACAGCTGACGAACGACGCACGCGAAAAGTTGAGAGTTGGTCATCTTTCTGTTTTCCCAGCAAACAATTAGGTTTGATATACATTTTAGAATGATTTAAAATCAAAGCCCTTTTTCAAATGTCAAACGTTTGAAACGTATTTGATATTGACTTGAAAGTTACAGCTTTCTCGATAAAATGAAGAGTTTGATCTCCATTTGAGAATATGGTTAACTCTCAAATCAATTTCAAAGGTTATTTATCAATTGTACTTCAAATGTGGAAATAAAATTTATTATAGGAAATGTATATTTCGTATTTATTTTTTTCTTCACGATGTACATTAGGGTTGTCCAAAAATGCATGTGAAAAGTAAAGTCGGAATTTTTATGCTCTCCACCGATAGGATTCTTCAATACCGACAAAAATATAGACCAAAGTTTTCCATCTACCTATTTTATATGCGTAAAAGACCACTTTTCCTAGAAATCGTATAGAATTCTTAAAAATCAATATTTTTCTATCGGAAAACTCTGTTTCTCTGCAGGAGTACCCAATTATTTATTTAACCATCTTTTCATCGCAAATATACTTTATAGGTCCGCCAAAAATCCACAAAAAAACCCGAAAAATGCAATGGGGGAAAAATAAAAAATCTTTAGTATTTTTCGATACATATTCATGCAAATTTTCATCTTATTAATCAGATTTTTTGGAATTTTCTTGAGTATGCAGTTTTGCAGCCCAATAAATTCTAGTATAAAATTGCAAGTTCGAAGTTAGTCAAAAACCTCACTAATTTTTGAGATTTTTTTTTTTTGTTGAAGGTGTTTTGCATTTTTTCCATATAAAGTATTTTCGAAATTTTTTTTGTATGGAAGAGACTGCGTGAAAAAAAATGCCAAAAGA